AATGCCGACAGCCTGGATGATGTAGATTGCTATTTGGCAGAAGAAGATGAAAAAGAAGACGAAGAAGCTGAAGGAGCTGTCAGACCTGCAGGAGAGATGGCGGCAGGAGTGAAACCCAGGCGCGTGATCCCTGCAAACTCCCTTCTCTAAGGGGAGGGAAGCAATTTCAGTGAAGCCCTTTCTCCCGGGGAAAGCCGCTAAGGGGAGGTGATTTCAGAGGGAACTCGGGCAGCACTACAACTTGCAGCATGTCCGCTGCGTATCGCAAAACCACCACCCAGCCCAGCGCAGGATGGGGTGAAGGCAGCTTCCTTGAGCTCAACGTATTCGCGTACCAAACGGTTTCTCAGCAATTAATGAGGAGTAGGACCCTAGGATTGGCTAGGCTTGGATTTCAAGATGGAAAAGGTCCACCATAATCAAGTTCTATCAGATACTTCTAGTATGTTTAGGAACAAGTGGGTTTGATCTATTTAACGTTATGCAAAGAGCTGGAAAAATCCTGCAGGCAATACACGATCGGAACAGATAAAACCAAAGCTCCTCCCGCTAAAAGCTACATCCCAGTTACAGAAGAAAATAGCACTTGCCTGAAAGCCTTGTAAATTGGTCGGTACCAACAGAGAAAGGCACAAGGGGTGAATAAAATAAACCACAGGATCGAGAGACCAAAGTCTACTCCTCTTTCCGTCTGGACTGTGAACCACGCCAGGCAAGCGAGCAGGTTTAGGAGCAGAGTAATCGAATGCACTGTTTAGGATGGGAGAGAGAGAAAAAAAATAGATCTATAAATTCTTGGAAGACTCAGACGTCTCTCCAAGCATCCCTAATCTCCCGCTGAACACATGGAGCTCTGCAGAAATTAAGGAGCCTTCGGGCCATCTCATTTCCTTCTCTCCCTTGAAAGGGAAACAGAGCTTAACCTAAGAACCTCATCTGATCCTGCTGCTTACAACCAGATCTTAAATCTTTTTCAGAGCACCAAAACTGACAGATTCTCTTTTGCACCCGATCTCTGAATTGCGCTATTCCCTGTCTTTCGGGGTCTCAGGAGAGTTCTTAAAGTCTCCATTAAAAACAATCAAATTTCTGTTACAAATGGGCTATTCCCAAAGTACTGGAGTCCTTTACATTTGCCTTCATAAAAAAAAAAAAAAAAAAAAGGGAAAAGAGACAGTATTTTACCCTTGCAGACAACACCTACAGAATTTTACTGCATGTCAAAGCTCAGCATTTCATACAGAATCTTCTTAGAAAGAATTTTTATTGTGGTTCAAGCTATTACTTACACATCCACAAGTAATACAGCATCTTGCATATCCGCTGGTAGTCAGCTGGGATGTCTGCAGAAAAATCCTGATAAAAACACGGCTTGATCGGACACTTCTTGGGGAGAGGCGGCCAGTTGTTTTGCCTCGCTGCAGAAAGGAGAAAGGAGCACTTCTTCGCTTGTTCTTCTCTCATTGAAAGATTCTTTTCGCACGCCACAATTTACAAGCAGCCATTCATTCACACCGACGTTAAAACCTTGGGAGAGGCTAGTTCTTGGCAGGTTTGAGCAGGCAGCGCAGCAGGGAGGCATTAACTCCGCTGGCAGCAGTGAAGTGGACCGGCCCGGTTTGAGGGCTTTCCTCTGTGGAAAAGGAGGGCTTTCCTCTGTGGGAGGCAGAATTCCCCTGCAACGGCCAAAGGGCCATCACGGCCATCGCCACTCAGCACCACAAGTCCTGATTCAGCCATTTAAAGCCAAGATTGGGGGGGGGCAGATCTTGTTTTGCTGTGGTTAAGAGAGCCTTGAGACTGGGAAAAAAAGCTTTATTGCTCTCGGTGAAAAGCCTTAATGCGGAAGCATCACACCACAGCTCGCACACGGATACGAAACCAGTGGCTGAAGCATCTAAGGTGCCCACGTGCAGGTGCTGAGGGTAGAGACCCACCAGAGCTCATCTCCAGCATCTTGTCTCTGAGCTCTTTTCCCACCTTGTAAGCTATGGGATGACTGAGTCCCAAGAGGGCTGCCGCAGCCGCGAAGGACTAGAGGAAAGACACGCGGCTCGTAAAAAGAGTTTGCACACTACTCACGATTAATGCTGGCTGCGTTACTCTGCAATTCCCTTTCCTTCTTCTCCAACTCGGCTGCCTTCCTCTCTAGTTCTGCCTGCTGCTGAAGAAGCCCAGCCTGTGCTGCCGCTGCCACGGCCTAAAGTAAGGGGAGAAAGAGGTAAGTCCTTCCTTAACCGAGGCAGCGGCAATACCATCAGCAAACACACCAGATGCCAAACCGGGAGGGAAGCAAAGGCAAATTCAACAGCAAGAGTCGAGGACAATTTGCAAGCTGAACACCCGCGGCTGATCTGAAAGATCTTGAGGCATTCTGCCTGCCTGCCGGAGGACAAAATCAAGACCGAGATCCCTACCCGGATGTTCCTCTCTCATCCCACGGGAAGACAGGGCTGTCAGGTACTTGCAAGCCAGTTTAAGCAGTGGCTGCAACGTATAGCTAGACTGCATTTACACTCCTGGAACCGAGCGGGACTGAGCAGCCACCAGAATTAAGCTAAAAGCATTGGCAGGAAACACTTCGGTGTTTGCAGAGGGAAGCCAGAGCACATAGGACAAAAGGCAAAACGAGCTCTGCCACCAGAGGGGCAGGGAAAAGGCATAAAAAGAATCGCGTGTATTTATTCCCTACAGTGATCTGCTTCGCAAGGCAGGTCCAAATGCAAGTTTAAAGATCCCCTGCAGCTTCCCACAGCCAACCCCAGAGAATTCCCTTCCCTTCCTATTCCCGCCGGCTTCCAGAGACCCACGGGAGCTCCTTCACGCTCTCCAGCCCAGCTCTCGGGAAGGCGGCAGCGAGGGGAAGCCGTACCTGGGGAGTGGGCTCCACGGACGTCTGCAGAACAGCAGGCTGCGAGTGGCCAGAGGGCTGCGTGGCTGGTGTCGTCCGCGCTGCATTTGTCTGCATAGAAATCACAAGAAACAAGGCAAAAAGATATTACGTATTGCTGCTTTTAGCAAAGAATAGTTTAAGTTTTAGCGCTACTAAACCAGAAAGCACCAGCAGGAAGCAGCTCCACATTTTCAAAAGTTTGTTAGTGCCTTAACGCACCTGAGGATTACAGGTATTAGGCAAAGGAGAAAAAAAGGGATTTTGATCGGTGGTTTGCACCGCAACTATTGCTTTACCCTGGTTTCCTGTTCTCCTTTTCCCATCTCACACACGACAGCAGCCAGGAAATAAGAATGAAGTTCTTGCAGCGAACCATCAATGACATCGCCGCTGCAGTTCAGCTCCCAACCCAGAGACCAAACAAATAGTGATGCGTCCTGCCACAAAACATCTTCCCCTTCACACTTCACATAGCTTTACGGCGAGCCAGCAGCGGCTTTGAGAGAAGCTGTTCCATGCGAGCGGAGAGCTCCAGCTGAGAGTTTATTAGCACTCCAGTGCAGGAGCAGTCGCTCGCAGCTCACCACGCACGCAATGAGCTACTGTCGGTGGGGAAATCAGCTGCGAACGCTTCGCGCTTGCCTTTTTTTTTTTTTTTTTAAGCTGAGCCTACCAGGGGACCTTCTACGCTGTTAAAACCACCGCCGAGTGCAAAGACACGTGACACGTACCAGCTGGGAGCTCTCAGTAAAGGGGTTGAATTCGTCCAAGCCACTTTGGCTAGCATTTGTGAGCTGTGTCACCGAGGGATCCTGAAAAGAGAGAGAGAGCAAAGACAAATCAGCATCGGACACAGGTCCTCATTAGCTTAGACGTTGTCCACGTTGCCTGCCCTCTATCCGCTTGTTAACAGGGAACAGGATGGGGCAAAACGCGCCCCTGGCACGGGTGGATGGTAAATTCATTGGCTGGCAATGAATTTAAATAACCACGGAGATGACTATCAGCAAGGCAAGATTTGTGGGCAGAAGCGATCTCCTGTTCAGCCAAGGGGTATATTTGAAGAATCACAAACATGTTTTTTGGCACAGGAGCCCTTTCTGCAGATTACTACCCCTATAGTCCTAATTTCCAAGCACTCAAAGCAGGACACTAATTCATTCGCCCACACTGAGAACGTTGCTGGACACCCCGCATCGCCTCCCAAACCTCACTTGCACCACAAAAACGAGCGAGGATCCACACAGCGCAGCAGAGCCTCACCAAACCAGTTGCCAGGTACAACTGGTGTTGGCTGATAGGTGTCAGCTGCCACCCCAGGGCATTTGGACCAGGCAAGCTGAGATGCCAACGATTACTCTGAAAAGGTAAAACACCCAGGGAAGTCGAGCTGGAGGTGTGACACCAATTCCTTTTGGAAGTTTTCCACCTGTACTCACAGCATCTCCCACTCGTCTCTATCAAATAGTCCAATCATTTAAAAAAAGGCTCTCTGCACCTCTACTGAAAACGCCTTTCTTCCCTTACCTTAGCTATTTTTATCTTCTCTTTCATACACACTACTTCCCATAAAAAGATCCCTCTTTGATAGCCAGACATGGACCTCTGGAGTGCTTCTCCCTTGACTAATTACAGAAACAAGGTACTTTTTGAACTCGGAAATCCTACTGTGAGAACAGCCTGGCAACCTGATAGCTGGGTGTGGGTAAAAAAAAAAACCAAACCAAAACCAAAACCCAGCATTACAAGGTGGCTTTTAATCCCTCCCTCCCCCAGCAACTCACGTCTTGAGCTCAGTCATTTTAATTTAGTGGTTAATGGGGTTAGAAGCAATTGAAGCTGCGACGAGGTAAGAGTAAGCAATCGAGGCTGACCGAATCAGAAGACGTTTGGGTTGTCTGAAACCTTCTGGAGCCATTCCCCGGGGTTTTAGCGCAGCCTTCTGCTGAGCAAGACGCATATGGAACAGTTAATGAGTAACCTCACACATCTCCTCGATAGCAGGCACTCCCTCCGCCAACAGGTCGCACTAGTTTATGAATCACCGTGAGCTGAGGGATCTCGGGCGAGGATTTGGATGCTGCTTGATGAAGTACAACTCCTCAGCTGGGCACGGCTGTGAAAAAACGGGGAGCACCAGCCAAACCACCACGCTAGAAATAAGGACTGCAAGGATTCAAGGCATGGGTTTTATGTCACTACTTGCTCCTCCGGAGGCTTTAACTTAACCAGTTTCACAGACGCTGTCATCACAAGCTTATAAATCAGTTAACGCGCGATAGCTACTGTGCACTAGCACGATACCCTTTAATCCAGACCAGGCGAGGTCCCAGCCTGACTGAAGTCCAGCAGAAGACAATGGCACAAGGAAGACAAACTCCCTTCATGGTATGGGAAGAAGGAAGTAAAAGCTACATAACCATCTGAAGAGCTTCAGTGGTCAAACTGGGAGGAAAGCGCTCGGAAACAAGGAGAAACACTACAATACCGAGGCAAAACTATTTTTTTTTCTTCCTGTCGCTCACCTCCACTCAAAAAGAAAGCTCCTAAATTTAGCGGAGGCTCATGAAAGGGCGGGCTGCCTGAGCAGGGCAGGAAGAGCAGCACCACCGTTTCACTGCTTCCAGCTGCAGGACAGCTCTGTTTCAAAGGGAGACGACCTCTGATCTTATCGCATGGCTTTAAAAAAAAGAAATAAATTACTTCATTAGGCAGCGTGACCAAGGCAAGGCAGCTCGGCTTAACTCGCTTGCTATTGTACAAGCGTGGCTACAATAGATATACGAAGAGAACGGAATTTGCAACAAAGCTGAAGTGTGTTTGGACATGTGTCCCTGTGCCCCGGATAGGGCAGGACGGAAAACAGCAGCTGTGAAATAAGGGGGGGCATACAAAGGCACCAGCTTCCGCGAGCCTGGACTACGCGGCACGAAGGATAAGGAAGCAAGAGGAACGTGGAGGAGATGAACGAGAAGTTGCCCACAAACTTCACATTTTACAGTTATTTCCTGCAAGCGACGACGCAACAGTCTTGAAACAAGCACAAGCCTGATCCTTTAGGCTGTGAAATGTGGAAACGGGGACTTAATTCAGCCACTCAAGCACGTGAAGCCACGTTACCCGGCCCTCCCTCTCCTCCGAGGAAGTAACGGCACTCTCCTCTGCTCCCAAGGCCCCACGTGCCTTTCCTTTTGCAGGACTTAGTTCTTCAGACCCCCAGTTAAACTCAAACAATTCTCCTCAACTTCTTTCCTGCTTCAGAGCTAAGGAAAAGCCTGAGCACCTGGAAGGTCTCTTAATTCTCCAGCTGTTCCGCTTGATTTAATAAATACGTCCGGCCACAAATTTCGTGCTCGCAAGTCAATTATCCGATCGATCTGCAGAATGCCAGCGAGCAGATCCCCCACTTGCCGGATGAACTCCTACACCGTTGTCTAAATATCGCAGTAACCGCCCCAAATATCTCCAGCCCCGCGATCAGCCACCGGCACGGGACCTCAGAGGGCTGCCTGGAAGATGCATTGAGAGAAACCTCAAAGATTTTGTTATCGATATCTCTAAAGAGGACAGAAGTTTCCAGCCCCGTCTGAAGCTTGCGTTAAAGTTTTGGAGGGAGCTGCCACTTGTAGCAGGTTACTGAGTAAACGAAGGCAGTTAATCATCTCTTATTAACCAGTTAGAATAAGTCACAGCAGGATGAGCCAGAGGTATTTGTAACGGGACCAAACCACCTTATTTTATACCAAGCTTATTGATCATCACGAACAAAGTCTCCTTTAAAGGCAAAGATCCCCAGTTACGTCAGGATTTGCGGACTAAGAAACGCTACGCTGGGATCCGCAACAAGGAAAGACAGCCCTGGTGCTCTGCCCAAGAGATAATCATCAGCGCGACAAGGCTGGGAGGGCGGAGACGCTTCTAGTCTTTCGGCAAGATCTCCAGAGCACGTGGAAGGGGATGTCGGCACCTGCTGGGCGGGCAGAGCGGCCCCCAGCCCCGCACCAGCACGTGGATCCAAACCCCGGCAGGGAACGGGCTTGTTTTATCAGATTTACTAGACCAGGGCAGCGCTGTCCTACATCGTGAGATGCCGTTTTTAAATCGGACAGACAAGGCTTCGAGGCTCCGGGCAGTAGCAGTCGGAGATTCCTCACGTCCAGCTGCTGATGACCGGGGGGGGGAGTTTTTCTTCAAAAAACACAGATAAAGGTGAACACAAAACCTCATCCTCCCAAGAGGAGGATATAAAACCTGCCACAAAGACCGGCTGTATCGGCAAAGAGCCGGGGGGCATCCACGACGTACGTTTGTCCTCATTAAAAAGCAAGCCTGACATCAGAGTTACCTGTTGTAAATCGCGTCCAATCTTTTTTTTTGTTTAAACAGTGAGTAAAGCGCAAGCACGGCCCTGTTCGGTCAGATACCGGGGCAGTATAATAGGCATAAAGCAGCAGAATATTTACTTCCTCCGTGCCAAAGCAATAAATCCCTACAGGAACAGCGACTGTAGGTGCGAGCCACCCCATATTCCCCCCCTGCCACGGAAGGAATATTACAGGAACGCAATCATCCAAACCCTTCCCGAGCCGCACGAGAGCACGTTAAAATGACGGTGAGGTAGCGAAAGGATTTTTTTTTTTTTCCCTTCCGATTTCACTTTAATTCCTCAAAACGCTGAGCCCCATCACCAAATAGTTTCACTTTAGCTTGACCACAAAAATCAGAGGTCAGGAAATCAGCCCTTCCTGCAGATTACGACCCAGCCAAACGGCAAAGGTAAAGCAGCGTCCGCAGTCGCTCACTGATGAAAGTCAAAGCCCGGACGCTCGCTTCCACACCGCTGCCGTGCGAGTTGGGTCCGAGAGGCTGTTGCCGGTCAACTCCCTGCGTAAATGACCCCACATTTCTGAACACGGAGGTTAATCCCAGAGTGAAAACCCACTGAAAGGAGACCAAGTCCTTTAGGACCCTCAAAGGGAACCCCACGCTTTGACCCCCTAAGAGCCAGAACCAAAAGGTGCGTTTTTACTTTTTGGGCTCAGTTTTAAGAGCTGATGCTACAGCACGTTAAAAACAGACCCTAAAGAGACCCAGCGGTCGGTCAGACCACCGCGTAACGCAGCCAAGAGACATCCCTCGCCGGGTTATTGTAAATATCTCCACAATTTTAGCTATCCACAACCCACGCTTTGACCCCCTAAGAGCCAGAACCAAAAGGTGCGTTTTTACTTTTTGGGCTCAGTTTTAAGAGCTGATGCTACAGCACGTTAAAAACAGACCCTAAAGAGACCCAGCGGTCGGTCAGACCACCGCGTAACGCAGCCAAGAGACATCCCTCGCCGGGTTATTGTAAATATCTCCACAATTTTAGCTATCCACAAGTGTTCCGGCATCCCCTGAAACGGGGAGGGGGTACCGCTGGGGCTGAACCCCCCCTCCCCAAAGCCTGAAGAGGCGGGGGGAGACTGGGAGCGGACATGGGGGTGATGTGAGACCCCCTCC